GGGGAAGGTTAATTTCAAGCTCACCGGAAGATCTCGTCGTGAAAGATTGACGATGGGACATTTTGTAGAAAATACGGAACACGGTAGATTAATCTCCGTCTTTCTTATGTTGTTGTGCCCTTTTTCCTCTCAGTTTGCTACCATGTTACCGTAAGTAGAAAGTGGCCCTCGGTATGCCTTTATTCTTTCTCTTTTTTCCAACACGTCTCACCGGAGACGCTTCGCTTCTTGCCTCGGAGAAAATAATTGGGATGATCGATCGGTTTCTATTCGTAGGCTTAATTTATTTAGGACCAGACTAGAGCATATTTTAAAATATTCACAAATGTGCACGTTTAAATTGAACGATGTAAACTTCAACGTTGGGTGTCATCGTGTATAGAATCTATAGAGATAGATTGCTTAAAACATTGCCAATCGCACGAGTTATATTCAATCAGTAATAATATAATAATACCTACTGAACAAAATTGTCATTAATTGGACCGATAAATTTGTCATCTATACATGAGCGAGTGACGGAGCTCCCGTGAAAACCCACACGTCACACAAAACGCGTGGTACTCAACGTGTTACAATAACGGCGATCTTTTTCAGCAAGTAAAATTATGTTGAATAAACTATAACCACACAGGTATTTTCCGAGCGTTGCATTGAAGAGAAAAACATACGAAGAATCATGTAATAACGCGCATAATACAGGCCAATTCACACAAAAAGAAGCAATTGTAAAAAGAAAGATGAGTGGAAATGGGAAACGTGTTCTCTACATTTTTCAGAGTGAAATCTCACTCGGAAAGTAATTGCCGAGTCGCTCGAATTCGCGTGACTTTTCATTCATATAGAGTGAATTCTCCGCTCTGAATTGTCGAGTGAACATGTTCACTCGATATCGAAGAACGAATCCGATGTACAGTCCGCGTCATGTACGTCGTGCCATTCCCTAAATCGAAACTTTTTACTATTATACAATTTTTAGCCTTTTGCATGTATATGTAAGGTTAAAACTATTATTAGACTACTATCATTGTAACCCTATCATTGTAACTAGACTTATCTACGATTCTCAATCTTATGCATATTATTTGTAAGGCTGGAAATCGCATAAATCTCCGTTTAGGGAATGGTGCAGCATACATGACCGTATTCCGCTATCGCAGGAACATCTTCACTCCGATCAAATGAAACGTTCGCTCAGGTTGAATGAGAATCCACTCTAAGCTTGAGTGAAACATTCATTCCTGCAATTTCGAATAGCGCGGGATATTTTCATTCATCGTACCGGGTGAAAATATCCAGATAGCAAAGTGTATTCAGTCTGACCTCATTTTGTATTCACAGTAGTCAAAACGTGAGAACAAGGATAAATACAGATGCATGCGCATATGTCGCTCAGATGTCATTCGTGTCATGATGTCGGGAAAATATCTCGTATAATAATCATAATCGTGTCAAGAACGTGTATACATCATCTGTTTACATCTTGCGGTCAATCATATGATGTCAATCGGCGTAATGATTTTTAAAAAGGATATCAAACTCAAGTCACAATATGACATCACATTGCGATAAAACGTGATCATGACGTATTTCTATCTGGGTGCTACCACTGTTCCCTCGTTTTGGGCAAAGTTACACTTAAAGAAGTTCAGAGAATACTCTCGAAACTTTTCGAAGTGAAATCTCACTTGAAAAGTAGATCGACCGAGTCACTCAGATTCGAATGATTTTCGAGTTACATAGGATCAATTATCCGCTCAAAGCTTGAGTGAAGCATTCACTCTTGCGATTTCGAGCGACGGGATATTTTCTTAACTATTTCGAGTGAAAATACCGGTACTGTTCGCTTCTCCCGAGCGAGATTTCGCTCCGAGAAATTCAGAGAGTACTTGAACTTCCACCTTTTGTCGTCACCCAGTCAGAGGTGTCTTAAAATATGCTCCGCTTCGCGTTCCGCGGCCATCCTGCGGCTTCTCGATTCTCCCAGCAGGCGTCTAGCATTATTCTGTCGTTTGCCCCGGCTTTCCCGCGGCATTTTATCCGACGCGCTCGATCTGAGCCCGATATACACCTTGGGGATCGCTCATCGGCCGGCGGAAACCGCCGATCCATCCGCCGACCTTGTTTTTCTCATCTCGTAGTCCGGTATCTTTGTTTATCGTTGCGTGCCATAAAGCCTGTGCGCCCGTCTCGAACATACATGATTCATCGTCCACCGTATCGCGACGACACGCGTTAGCTGCGGCTTCGTGTAAGATCGATCGCACCGTTTCGTCATGCGCAACTCATATCCGCTTGTTCTTTTCCCCACACTTTCGCGGCCCCCGCGCGTCGGCTGCGCGTTATTCATGCCGATTAGCGCGAGGATCGTTCGCTCGACGTTTGACCGCAAGGTGCGACTAATTCATCCTCCGTCGACGAGATCCAGCGCGCAAAAACAGTCGCGATGACGCATCTCGTGCGAGTCTCCTCGGACACGACCTTCGGGAGATCTCTCCGGACGGACTTTTGCGACTCGCTGTCAGCCTCGCGCGCGCACGCGCGTTCAACCGGCGAGCAATAAATGCAACTGGAGTCCCGATTCTCCCCTGCTTTTGCTCCGACTCATCGCGCGTTCCATTACTTCCCATGACAGACCCTCGTGAGATGTTGACATCCCGCCGGAAGATCTCTCTTGCGAACCACCACCGCCGCCGAGAGCTTGAATTCCTCCTGCGCCCTTATTCTGCAACTTCGAATTTTAACGCGTTAACAAGTCTTCGCGCGGCCAAAGTGCATCGTGAAATACCTGCGCGCAACGATGCGTTAACTCTCTAACGACAAGCCGGGGTCGAACGTGACCCCACGTTTATCTTACAGCATGCACGCGCTGTTTCTCTACCTGAGGAACGTTTCGTGTCATTGTTTCTTTTATCCGTCTTGTGCATCGATTACGCGAACAATGAATGAGAAACTGAGCACGGGGTCGGATCCGACCCCGCTTTCCCGGAGCACGTTGAAGAGCCACCTTGCCGTTCGAGAGTTAACGATCACGGAATTTTCGTTACGGGTTACAGAACGAGGAGGCGGATTCGCTCGTCGACGTTGACGCTCCACGTTTCGTTAACACGTCGGGTGCCAATTCGCCGGATCCGAGGCTCGAATTCCCAGAGTCCAGATTGCTTAGAACTTAATTGTTAACCGAGTTGGAATTGCGAGTTGGACTTCGTGTCCGACCGAGTACTCGCCAACATCGTTCCCGATTGGGTGGGCGAAACCGTCACTCGCGCGCGAGCGAGTGGTAACGACTTGTCCCCTTGGCGACAACTTTCGTCCACGAGGTGTACGGATGTGACGTTGCGCTCAACGTGTTAAAGTGACGTTCTCCTCTTTTTTGCCTCCCCCCTCCCCCCCATCCACGAGCGAACATCGCGTCGATTAGGTTCGGCGCGTCTCCGCGAAACGGCGTCTTCGAGATTCGCTCGCGCCGACGACGATCGACTCAGCCGACACTTTGTAACGGAGATGTGTACTTCCACACACACACACACACACACTCGCGCGCGCGCGAAGGCGCACGTTAATTAGGGGATTATATTAGGAAAACGCTACTGTTAGTATAAAACTAAGTCCGAGTGTTTTAAAACATCTACATCTACACGAGTAATTACACTTGCTAGTAAGCATACCTTCTCATGTACTTAAGCGAACAAAACGAGATGCTGAAGAGGTAGGCAGGGAGGGAGGGAGAGGGGAAGACAACGGGGCAAACCTCGGTGAAACGTAACGCGTAGCGTTATACACATACACACGCGCGCGCGCGCGCAGAGCTCTGTAAAATATTACTTCACAGTGTTTCGACTATACCAAGTCAAGTATTCTCTCTCGCATAATCACTTTCCCCTCAGAAAGCGCAGTAATCGGGAACGTCCCTCGCGGGGGACGTTGTTATAAACATAGACCTAGAGATTAGGAAACGAGCTAACTATCGATATCTCACATTTAAACGCATAAATAAATAGACCGTGAGACGGAGAATGGACATGACGCTCGCAGAATGGAGTAATATTTTGCTTGTCTCTGATTACACCGTTAACGATAATCGCGTCGAGATCGACTGTTCGGACTTACGGGCGCCGTAGACGAGAGGAAGAGAGAGAAAACGACGGGAGGAGGAGGAAGCAAGAGGAACGGAGATCAAAGGAGGAAGAGAAGAAGAAGAAGAAGAAGTAGAAATCGCACTATACTTCCGTGACGCGAGCTGAAAGGCGAGCATCATTGCGACACAATATGATAACGACAACGTGATTCCGCCGAATCGCGATATCGGCAGGCAACGATGTCACATATATATAGTTTCCTCTCTTTTTATCTGTAAGGATACCATGGGCATAATCCGATCCTTCGCGAATCGGCCGGACGATAGGTCGATAGGTATATCCAGTGTTAAGGATTATCGTGTCTCTGCCGGCATCGCGATACGGCGAGAGCGAGTGTTTCCGCATGGTCTCGAACGGAAGAGAGTGTAACTGCAGCTAATTGTTAACTGACAGAACAGTGAGTCTTAAGGCATCATGGAAATGTCTTGTTTTTTTTTTCTGTGGATTATAATAAACTATTTTATTCTAACCGATGGTAACAGTTTAATCAGCACCTCCGGCCTCTCTCCTTTGTCACGCATCTTCACTGGACTTTCCCGAATAGTCGGAGCAGATTTGCCAGTCTCGTTATCTCCCTTGTAGCCCGACATGTTTTGCAGAAAAATGCTCTCTCGAATATTTCCTTCATCTCCCGACCGATAGATTCACACTTGAGTTGTATGAAAATCTTATTCACAAAAGAGCAGAGCAGTGCCGCTTGATCGTGCTTAGTCAAGGTATCACGCGTTACTGTCTTCTAAAATCTAAAAGAGTTCTTTCTTCCGCATATCGAGTACCGTTGCAGAGTACTCGAGTTTTTGCAGAACGAAAATACAAAATACCTTTGGTGCGTCCGGTCCCTCATCAAGCACGAGAACGAAGTTCAAGTACGCATTTCTCTTTATTGATTGACTTACAGCTTTCAATGAACGCCGCTTTCATACTTCGCGTCGAAATCGTTACAACGGACTCACGACGAGAAATTCCTGGCGGAGGCCGCGGTAAGCGCCGCCTCGAGCCTCTCTGTGTTCGCTTCCGCGGCTTCAGACGTTAACGCTCTATAGACGATTAATACAAAAGGCGTAATAAATTACAGAATTAAAGTAAAATCCTTAGTGCTTCTAGTAATATTTGGTCATTTGGTCGCTTCTTTCGTGTAGAGTTCTCAACATTAATTTATACCTCTAACATGCGCTCGTCGCACCAAGATGCACGTTTATGATGTTTTACCATATATGTAACTACCGTAGTCGCACGATCTACTAATGATTTTGTCGTCAACGTACGAGCCTCCCGTGAGAGAGACGGTACGATGGTAACTTAAACTTTACAATCAGAACAGCTTAACACGTCTATATGTTACAAAGCGTCCGAGGAGTGCCGAAAGCATCGCGGGCTGCGCCTTTCGCTCGCCCGAGATCGCTCGGTTAGTCCCCGAACGATCTATCGCGACATCTACACATCATGCTCAGACGAAGGTCATATTAATACTGCACTTACAAAGATCGTGCTCCAATTCGAGCAACTGAGAAATAATAATGCGAAAAATAAATGCGACCGATCCAACGAGATAATACAGATAATTCGCCGAGTTTACGTATCAAGAATATTGATACGCATGCCTTACCCTCTCCTCTCGTTTAAACAACTACTACGAGATGCCAGCAATTTATCGATGGTTGAGAAGTGATAATGCGGTCGGCGTCGTGTGTGTCGTATCATTCCCTGGACGGTACATTACACGATTTTCTGCCTTATATATCACTTCTATAAGGTTGAAAATCGCGTAAGCAAGTCTAATTATAATGACAAGGTTATAATGGCTTTACTTATAACGGTTTTAACTTTATATATATACAATATATATGAATATATGTGTGTATGTGAATATATATGTACATACATATGTATATACGTGTAAGATTGAAAATCGTGTAATTTTCGATCTAGGAAATGACAAGGCAAACACGACGCAATATACACACTTGGTTTCGATATAGTTTGGAACACAGTGGACAGTTCGATGGGAGAACTTAATTTCTGGGAATTAATCAAAAACAAGTTCTCTCATTGGTTGGCTCATAACTCCACCGGCTGCGTTCTACTGCAACGAGAAAAGTGTCCGAGCCGTATTGAAACCAAATCTGCTTCAAACATGCGAGATCGGAAGTTTTCAGAAGAAAAAAAGAAAATGTTCTGCAAATTCATTTGATTCTGAACGAAGTTACTTTTTTGAGTTGGTCGAGCTAAAAATCCGAAAACAGGCATTTCTACTGATACGACCACTTTTTAGCTACTGTTGCAACCGATTGCTGCGTTTCCAGACGATCACGTTGGACAACGGAGCAGCCGAGACTGATCCCGTCGTTGGTTCACTGGTGATCCATCGTTTGAAAGAACCACTCGGTGAAACGCCGGAGCTGCTGCGCGGCTGCGTGATTTTCGTCCTTCAGACGACGGTTCTCGTCCTCCAAGGATTGTCGCAAGCTCTCGGACTCGAGCAGACGTCGATTCTCATCGCGCAACCGGCGCACCTCGTCCTCTAACGACAGTCGCAGGCGCGTCTCCCTGGCCATTCTCAGCTCGAGAGTGGATAGATGCGACTGCAGGTCCGAAACGGAATTTCTGCAAAATGTTCAAACGTTCAACATCAACCGCTCACAATAGGCTTTCGTTCTTTTTGGCTGAGCTACTGCTGCACTGGAACTTCGTTTCTTTTCCCTCCCTCGTTAGATTTACATACTTGTTTCGCTCTAAAAAGTGCAGTCTAATTGAGTTAAAATGTAGAACAGACTTAATATCATGTCACAGTGCATAATATTGAGTACTCACGCGTTCGCGTTGTTACCATCGACGAGCCTGTCGTCGGGCCACTCTTGAGGATGCTGCTTTGATCTGTTGGGATCAGTGTGCTGGTTCTTCCAACAGTCCATGTTAGTGTCATTGTGATTTTTTATATCCTTGATCGGTGTCAGATTGTTGTGCGGCTTCGAGATCGGATGAAGCGGCTTCGTGACACGCGGTGATAATCTAAAGAAAGATACGATCATTATATATCATGAATATATCGGCGATTTCGTAAAATATATTCATTCCTTATCACGCCGATATTGCTCCATAGGACTTTCTATGTCAAATTTGTACGTCCATGGCTTTTCCCTACCTTTCTTCCTTCGACAATTTGTTCTCGCTCAGCGCCGGGCTCGAGGCAGTGCTGGCGTTTGAGATCACCGTCGCAGGCCTGGCCATCGTCAAGATCACTTCCGACCCGTTGTTCCCGTTCTCCTGGCCGTTCGCGGGCAAGACGCTCAAGGTGGACGCGCTGTTGCCGCAGAGATTCTCCCTGGACCTGCACCGGTTCTGTATCTCCAGCATATTGTTGTTCAGCTTGTTCGAGTTTTGATTCGGGCTCATCACGCTGTTCACGAGGTTGTTGTTGATGATCTGGCTGTCGTCGGCGATGTAATCGGGGTTGATCAGTCTCATGAGGTCCTCCTGGAGGGTGCTGGACGTCAAGTTCGCGGAGTTCCTGTGCGCGTTCCGCATTCCCGGCTTGGGCCGCGGACTCTGGTTCCTGGAGCCGCCGCTGGAAGGAGTGCGGTTGCCGCCGCGATGTTTGCTGGCCCGTCGCAGCCTGGGCGACACGCTGCCCGAGCCGTTCGACAGCTCGTCCTCGCTGGGCAGGGCGGCGACCTCCGGGCAATTAATGGCATCCGGTATCCTCATTTCCGGCGGCAGACTGGCCGGGAAGTCCTTGGTCTGCCGGTACTCGACGTTCACCTTGTGCGGCACCGGCCGCTCCGACATGCTGGTCTTCAGACAGGTGACCTTCTCGCCCAGCTTGAAGTCGTGCGGCATCTCGTACTTGATGGAGTCACGATTGTGCTCGCTCTCGTTGTGCTTCCTCTCGTTGTTCATGTTCACATGCTGACACTCGATCTCGTATTTCGCGAGCTCCACGTCGTACTTGCTGTTCCTCCTCTCGTACATGTCCTCGGGATACTCGTAGGCGAGCCGTTTCTCGTGGCGCGCGTCGTGCTCGTACTTGACCTGCGATCGCTCCATCATCTTCTCCTCCTGCAGCTCGTACTTCGAGCCCCTGTCCGGCTTCGACGTCTCGTAGTCGTTGTACTTGTTGCCGGGCTGCTCGTACTCGTTGTACCTGCCGAGGTTGTTGTTGCTGCCCGACTTCGGCAGACTGTAAACGGCGTTGTGCGCCAGCGGCAGCGAATTCGACGCGCTCAGCTTCTGGTGGCCGTGGTGCTGCTGCGCCTCGTTCTTGTGGAGCTCCCTCTGCGAGGCGTAGAGGTTCTCCTGCTTGACCTCGTACCTCTCCTTCTGCAGTTTCACGTAGTTCGCGGTCACGTGCTCCTGAGAACGGTGCGCGTTGTCCAGCTGCCGCTGGTAATTCTCGTGTCGCGCGTTCTCTTGAAAGACCTTCGACGACACGTAGTTGCCCTCCTTCGGGTAATGCTCGTGGACGTGCTCGCGATGCTGCTTCGAGCTGTCCGCGAGCTGCTTCGCGCTGATGTAATGGGAGCTCTTGTCTTTCTTATGGCCAGACGTGGGCGTCTTGCTGGGCGTCACCGCTTGGAAGCTCTGCCGCGCCGGCAGCGGCGGCGGCGTGCCGTCCGCGCGATGCCCGCCGTCCTGATCCTGCGGCTCCAGAAGCTCGTACCTGAAAAACCGAAGGAGCCTTTTGTTTCCCACTTTGTTCGCGCGCTACCAAACGCGGATCATCCTTTGTTACGCGGCGCGTTACTGGGTTACCCGGCCCCTCGCCGCTGCCGTCTTACTTGACGACGACGGAAGCGAGAAAACGCGCGTCCGAAATCCTCGCGCAATACGTTGGAAATGAAGAGGATGCGCACGTAAAACTGCGATCGATCGAGCATATTTGTCAAATGTTCCGAAAACTTTCCTTCTGCTCAACGGGATATTAAGTAACTCACACAGGCCGTTTATTGTCCGTTAAAGTTAACGTGACATGTAACCATTTTCTTTTAGCATATCTATTCTCATGATTTTGTCATGTACATTTTATGACTATTTACTGAATTGTTAAAATAAAAGGGCAATTTTCGGAATATTTCGCGAGTGCAGATGGAAGCGGTTTAACTGTCAAGAATAATGAAAAAAATGAGTGAGCTCCCGACGATCATTGTTTATTTTCTTGGGTTCGTTTGTTAACAAACTCGTTTTGGTTCGATGGGCGAACAAGAATTACGGATAGATAAATATGTCGTGGACAATCGATTTCACTACGTAATTTGAGTAAAACACATTCGGATATGACGATCACTCTCTGTTCTTCTGACAAACCCGATGAAAACCGTTTAGAAATCAAATCAGTCCCTCACTTTATGAACATTATGACGTCGGTCTTATTGTTACTTTTTATATTCTACAAATCTTTCTTTCGTCCTTAAAGAAGCTATTTACCGTACAGAATTTCTTGCAATCGATTTTTCTTTCAGAGGTTCAAGTCGAGTAAGAAAAAAATAAAACGTATCCGAATAAGTGAGACAAGGTGGGAAAAAGTGAGCGACTCCCGCGACTGCAAATGTGTTCCAATCGGTCATTTTTTATGAGCACGTCTCATTATGTAAATTCCGTCAGAATTTTGGGCCAAATGTTTCCCCGCTTCCGACATCATTAACCAAGATGGCTAGGAGAAAATAGGGGCTCTTAATTGGGAGACATCACGCCACACGGCTTCATACGTTCAACGATCGACAGTTTTGGACGTTGCTAGTATGCGTTCGTTAATCACGTTGCACTGGGGATTAACTGATGGCCACTCACCAACGATCATCGGCACTACTGTGTCCGCTACTGCTGCTAGTCATTGTACCCTCCAACGGAAACCGTGGATCGTTGAACGATCTAGAGCTTGATCCAGTACCATACCCGGAGCTGTTGCTCGATCGCGGCGGACTGAACGATCGGTCGTACCGCCTCTGATGCGACATCGCCGTCTGCTGACTCGGCGTGTTATCCGCGCTCGCCACGTTCTCGTAATCCCCTTCGTAATTAGTCGACAGGTACTGGCAGTTTTGTAACGAGCAGCCGCTATCGCGTGGGAAAAAGAGAGTTTTAGAATCTCTTCGTAGCATGTCTGTTTCTCTTTGTTAGAGTGCCTAATTTAATCGTGACTTAATCGCGACGTGAACTCAAGTTAAGGAGAAATCAGTTTTATTCAAGCGGGCACGCTCGAAATATTTCAGACAATTGAAAGCCTGATTGCGGTTGTCGCAGCAACGTAATGTGAAATTATAACATTTAGCACGGATTCCCCGAATTTCTTCGTTTTGTCTTAACCATTACCATTATTATTATTAACAGTATCGCCGCGGACTAATTACCTGAATTTTCTCGTTTACTTAAGACAATAGATAGCAGATCGATAAAGGGGATTCGAGGTGGTTACCTTCGCGGATTCCCGTCGTTGTTTGGCGGTATCACGGTGACGGTGACCTGAGCGCTGGTTTTGAGAAGATCGACCATTTGATCGTGACTCAAGGTCGACACGGCCACCTTGCAAATCTCGACCAGCCTGGAGGCCTGCCTCAAGCCCGCATGCCACGAGAGCCCCATACTTTCGACTTGCGTCACGATGCCGTCGGGGTGAACGTGGAAGCCCAACTGTCCGAGGCTGTTCCTCTTCAGAGACAGCTCGGAGGCCGGCGCGCCTTGAGTCACGGCGCGCAGCCGGGCCACAATTTCCATTAACTCGTCCCGCTCGCCGTAATCACCGCGTACGTGTATGGTAATGCATTCGCCTTGATGATGATACAATCTTAAACTGGAGCACCGAGGCAAAGGGAAAAATATTAGGCCGTCGCAATTAATCGTATCGATTTCCGATCGTCGTTTTCGTGAAAAAACGCGATCGTGAGTAATGCGGTACTGCAAACGGCGGTAGCGACGCGTCGAATGAGCGAAAAGGGAAGAAGAAGATTGTCGTCGTGAGATCGGAAACCTACGGAGTCTCGATGTTCGATCGTTATTGAGAAATTTGCTCACGAGATGAACGCGAGATCCGAATTGATCCGAGAAATTCCCTGAGAACGTCAGAACGGAGGATTACCTGTTGGTCTGGGCGTGCCAGCCGAGCACATTCACACACGGAGTGACGAATACTATCTGTCTGGAGTGCTCCTCGATCAGCACGATGGTGTCTATGCTTATACCTAGATAACAATCCGTGTTCTGATTGCTGTCCTCGAGTATGACTTGCCAGCAAATCGCGCCGCGCTGAGACGCATCGCACGAGAGCCTCGGCCGTACCGCCGCTTTCTTCTTGCTGCTGAAGGAGAGCATCGCTGTTTCGCGAGCAAAAAGCAACGAATGAACTCGAGACGGCGTGGCAATTTCGCGATTCGAATCCGTATCGGCAGTCGAAACTTGTCTCAGGTGAGACACTCAGATTTAATTTCACTCAGAGATAGACGTGAGCCTGTCAGCTGAATCACGGTTACAGCCAATGTAATCGTCACATATATTACATGTAATTCGAGTAAAAACATTCGAATGTAACTCTAAATTCAGATCTAAGTATCTCACGCGAGCAAGCTTCAAGTGATTATTATATAATATGGATCTTGGATGTTTTTCAGTTGAATCACGCGCTCATAAATGCAATGTCGCGTATATTATATACGATTCAAATAAAACTCTCGAATCTAACTGGAAATTCAAATCTCTGGACGAATATCTCACGTGGGACGAGTCCCACGAAACGACCATTAATATCATCTTTAAACGATTTTATCTCTTCTAATTTTTTTTTCTAATCTTTTCACAACCTTTATTAAGAGAGATTGTCTAAAGCGCAACGTACAGAACTTCTGGCCCGTGTCGACGACTGTGGTGGAGGAATAGTTGGTAGCCAGATCCTTCAAGTATTCCTGTCTCGTCCTCGTGGCCATGGTGGCGAACTTCTCGGATCTGAGGGAAAGCATATAATCAGTCCGGCTAATTTGATGGGCGTGCAAAAGCGGCGAAAAAGAACACGAGTGAGGTTGGGGGAGGGGAGGGAAACGAAGCTCCCTTACCTGTGAGCTGCATTTTCGGCGTTTATGACCTTAGCCAGAATAAAATCGGCGAATGCCTTTCCCTTCGTGAACGTGGCACCTTGTGGCACAGGCGGCCCGAAGATGGGCACCTCCTTGCTCCTGGACACCGCCACGCTGTACTGCGTGTTGTCCGAGCACGGATTTATGGCTCTCACGATGATGAACACGTGCTGGAATTGGGAGCGTATCCTTCGCGGACTGAATGGCAATGCACCGGGTTCCTGAAGGGAAAACACGACGATTACGACACCCTCGTGGTTGAGCCGCGTGGAATCCCGCGAGGAAGTTTTCTCAAAGGGACTTAAAACACAGAGCCGAGCCACTTCGGCTCGGGCGGATTCGCGTTATCCCGCGGTATCTCCGACACACCGGGTGGAAAAATGATATATCCTCTGCGGAACGAATCGTTCCGAGAGGGCGGAGACGTAAAATTGCGGTGCCTCCCGCGTCTCGACGAGCATAATAAATCAATGCTTAAGCGAATGCGTCATGCGTTTCTCTGTGCTGCGGTGTCGTTATTACACAATTGCGTAATCGGCCGCGGCTTGAATTTTGCGCTCGCGAAGAATGTACCTGGAAAACTATCGTGACTATGTCATTTCCGATGTGCCTCTTCCTCAGCAGCTGTTGACGGTTATTAGGCGTGAAGGGTAGCATGGTGGACACGTGAAAGGTGACTTCCGCCCCTCGGTGCGTGGCCGCTACCGCGTGCGTACCCGTCGAGTCGGTTCTGGTGTCCAGACCGGCCTTGTAACCCTCGAATCCTCGCAGTCTTATTCTTTGGCCTGTCATGGAAACGTGTAATTATCTCAATTGCCCGGCGCACCGGTCGTCGTCTCGTTACGCGTTCGGCTTCGTCAGAGAGAGAGAGAGAGAGAGAGCGCGTTTTACACACCGAGCGGCGTGATCAATCCTGTTTCTCGCGAACTAATTGCACGTGTTGCGTACGCCAAAGAGCAAAGTAGATTTGTTTGCCACGCGGGCTGATTATACGGATGTGTGCGATGTTATCTCTTTCGGGGGAGATAAACGGGATAAACGGGAAGGGGGAAGAGCGGAATCCGGCGTCGCGCGCACTTAACCCTGGTTTGGCACTCGTGCATCGTCGAATTGACCTAAGAGGATAATTACGATCCTGTTGAATGATTGCGCACAGAAACGCAGAAGTTCATCTCTTAAGTCCTGGTCTGCATTAGGCGTAGGATGGCTTTCGCTCTAGGCTGAATTTTCGCCTTTTATCACCGGATTTCCATCCGGTCTCTATTCAATCGCCGGAACTGAGATTCTTTTCCCGCCTCACAGTGCGCCGAATCGGGCAGCAAAAGGTAAGTGTGCCAACGAGGGGTTAAAAAGAGGAAAAAAAAAGAACGACGTTGCGAAACTCTCTGGATGGCGTTGCTCATTTCGCAGGATTGTGTGACCAACAACTTACGTCGCGTTGCGGTAATCGTGTGTGCGAGCGAGGACGCGATAATCATCGGGCTGACGGTCGCGGAAGCGGGCGTGAAATGCAACGACGAGCGCGACGAGGAGAAAAATAAGAACAAGAGGCGCGTTTCTCTTTTAGAGAAAGCGATAGTGGTAACCGTAAATAGGGATAACCAAAGGCGGTCGTTAAACGCAACGATTCGCGGCGGCCACACGTGTAACGAGCGCGAAATTATCCGCATGTTCGCGGATGATTAGCCGCCGGCGCGAAACGACGGGTAAAATCATTCCGGGGCATTGGATCGGCCGAGCGCCGATAAAGCGACTCAAACTATCCGCGAAGCAAACCGTGAACACCGCCTGTAACGCCGTGTGTAAATCGCACTTCCGACTGCTTTATTCGCGACGTTTACGAGGCGGGTACGAGCTTCCACCGACTTCCACGACGCGAGTTTACCGACTCACTAAACTCCCCTCGCTTGAGCGTGTTAACATTGAGAAAAATTTCCATCGGATAAGCCGATTAAATGTTGCGTCTGATTGTGATTTTTCTTGTCCAATACAGTTACCGATAAAGTCTAATCGGAAAATCGGTCGCTTTTTGTATGCCCGTTGTAATTTTCATCGGATGAAGGCCGAGATTTATATTATTGTAACGATTGAACAGATCTGTTTCGGTAAGAACTTTTCAGCGATTAAGAAGCACCGTGACAAACGTTAGACTTATGAGTAAATGAGAGAAGCGAGAAAAAATAGGCAAGCCCTCGAAAGTCGCCTGGAAAGTGCAAGTAATACCTGTCCCAACGCGATAGCTATAGCGATAATAGAGAACGGAAAGTATTCCGAATCGAGGCAGTGAACATTTTCTTAACACTTTGCGGTCCGCTGACGATGTAACATCGTCCCGTGGATTTCGACGTTGCAGCCCCTCGATAATATAATAACGTCTCTATGTGAGAACATTAATATTAACCATACACATACATCTATGATTGAAAGTAGATTGTGAAGAAAGGCAAAAATGAAACGCGCTTAGTTACGTTAAAAGCAATTGCAAACGTGAAGGAAGAGTCGTTGCGTTATAAAGTGAGAAATATATAATTATAGACATGATTAATGTACAACGCAAAAATATTAATTAATGATGTCCGACAGAAAATTTTCATCAGACGATTATATTACTGCATCTTCAAAAAATATACAAAAAATTGTTTAATCAACTATAATAAATAATACTCTCAATTATAATAAATAATACTCTCCAAGTAAAGTTTACAATTTATTTTCGTGGAATCACGCATGGAAATCTTAACTGGCAATATTTATGGTTTCAGAATAACAACATGCCTAAGTTAGACTTTTCTCGCTTAGAAGGAAACTACTATTTTGGATCGCCTGAAACGAATAAGAAAACAAACGCAAACATTGAAATTTATTGTGTTCATCGATAAAAGTCCGAACTTTACGACGAAGAAAACCAATGTACTTCAATTTTAACAAGCTCTTTCATACCGATAATTATATTTGCGGTTGGAAAAGCACAGCTATAACTATGAATCATAGACCGGCATTCAAACAGGATCTTATAGTTAAGACAAATCTTATAATTAAGACTGCCTCAAGTTCTTCAGACGCTGTACGGTTCATTTCATTGGCTGAACGGAACATCCGAAGATGAACTCAAGACGACCTTAAATAGATCTGACTATGAATACCGAAGATTCGGTTTGCTCGAGTCAGGGTTACAGAGAGTGCGGGCTGCAAAGTATCAACAATTCCCTGAATAACGAAGTGTTCGTTCGCAAATGAAGAACGAAGAATAACATACCGATGGTGTCGAGAAACTCCAAGAAGGCCTGACCGGCGTGCTGATTGTTGTACATCTCCTCCTCGGTCCTCTGGCCGGATCGGCAGTACAACACGCCGACCTTGTACTTGTTGGACAGCCCTTGCTCGTCCAATCTCGTGACCGCTTCCTCGGCGGCGGAAGTGCCGAGCCTCAAGCAGCCCAACTGCACCTCCGGCGCGACCAGCTCCAAAAGCTCCCTCGTGGGCGGCCGGCCTTGAGGCCTGATCCCGAGAGCCTCTTCCGGCACGGAACCGCGGAGCGTCAGTAACTCCGACGTACGCACGATCACGCGGTACTGATTGACGTCCTTGCGGATACTGATGGCCACCGGACCCAGCTGTTCATCCATGCCGAACCAGTTCTGGTGCTCTCGTCCTGCGAAAGGATATTTCGCTCGCGTTTAACATCGTGCTCGTGACTGCGTTCTTTGTTGATGATTTCCGCGAGAAATTCTGCAGTTAAGATTCCTGTTTCTTCGCCGCAGTCATCTTGATTGACGACGTCGGGAGAACGAGAAAACGTATGCCTAAGATTCCTGCGGAATTGTACGCCGAAAGAAAAGGATATTTCCACTAAATGATACTCTCTTTCTCTCTCTTGGGATCGATCGAGCACATTTGTAAAATCTTCCGAAAACTTTCACTTGAACGATCTCGATGAAAATTTTGTTACGTAAAATTAAAATTAACGTAATCAAAATCATGAGGAAGGATAGATTAAAATGGAAGGTTGCGTGTCGCGTTAATTTTACGGCCAGTTCGACATAGTTCGCGAGAATTTCGGGGCGCGTGATTTCTCGCGCATTTTTCGTATTACACGTTTACAATTCGAGCACGATGTTGCACAAACCTCCGCACAAGTCAGCGTGTCTGTCAAAACGGATAAATCCCGCTTTAAATCTAGGATATACAAATCTTTGTATTAACCGGTATAACTTGACATCAATCTATTTCTCCAGTTCTCCGGATAAAAGCTAATTTAAGAGATCAAGGTCTACCTTAATTAATTCGACGTCGAGTTATAAAAGCGACTACAATCCGAATTGATTGCCCTCTTGTTCATAACGTCGCGCAGGATTCGGGTATGTTGAAACCGATGTATTCAGACATCCTCGGCGTAACGAGGGAAAATCATTTATGTAACGCGAAATAGAAAGATTCGCGTAAGCCGTATCTTCGTTCACTTACCGAGAAAGTATCGCCGGTAATAATGAGCCCCCTCGTCGACGCTCTCGATGGGAAGCGACCGCTTCTGCAGTGGGCAAGTGTGCTTCCACAGGGTCTCGCCGGGCGGCGGCTCCAGGACGGAGACCCCGTAGGACAGCGACGGTCTGTGAATCCCATTGCCGTGGGAGCAGCGAGTAAGACCGACCTCGCGTTCCCCCTCGCCGCCGATCTCGTTGCGGAAGAAGGGACACGGCTCCAGCAGGTCGTTACCTGAAACCGTCAGCGAGAGGTGAGAGACTGTCACCTTGCCGAGGTACAACGAATGATTTCGCAACTACTCTCGCGGCACGCAACGTGACATAATTTAGGCGAATTTCTGAGGAATGTCAAGCTTGACTGTTATGAGAAAATCGTAAAAATTACAATGTAAAAATGCTCTATCGAGAAGGCTGAGATATTTTTTCGAGGAGAGGAAATGACGTGAAAAGTGTTTATTTAATTAACTACCTAATAAAATTATCGAGATTAATCTTTCGCTCTTACGCATTTTCCCTCTCAACTCGCGCTTGTTCAAAGAATCACCGTACGAAGAAAATAGATGTTCGATATGTCGAATTCAGTTGCGCTTCTCTGCTTATATTTAGGAGCCTATTTGAAAGCACACCTTTCCCATCGCCGGCGTCCTCTTCGGGAGCTTCGTCGGGGGTGGAGGCTCTCAGCGCGCTGGCGGCGGACGCGCCGGTGGCTGTGTTTCTTCTCCTGGCTAAGAGAATCCCCCGGAGCTTCGCGGCGTAGCCCAAGTTCGCCGTGAGTGACTGACAGTCGTAATGGGCGAACGCTCGTCTTCGATGGCGCTCCTCCACGTCGGCCGACACCACCGTGCTGGTGCACGTCTCCTCCATCGCTCGCGGCGGCTTGCTGCCCCACAGTCTGTTCAGCTTGAGCCGCAACTTCGGACTCGAGCCGGCGCCGGTCGGACCGCAGACCTCGTCAACGTCGAGCGGCTGGCCCCCGTCCTGGTGAACGCGGCGGAGGTACTCCCCAGCGACCGCGCCGCGCTGTTCCTGTGGCCGGAAGTCCTGCAATATCGCGAAGAAGTTCTCGCCGGCCGAGACGGACTGCGCCACTACGTCGATGCTCCCTGCGGCAGATTGGATGAAAATTCGTGAAAATTCGAATTAATTGTATTTTGATTGAATATGCGTTTATAGTGTTCATGTTGAGGTGATTGGTCTCTTCGTAGCCCGTAAGTGGATGTGTGGGGATCAAACAGATGTATAAATAAATAAATGAACGAATTTAGAGAGCCGATACTTTTTCACTTTTACATTTTATTATATTGATTCCTATGTCGCGGGAATTGTAAACAATCAAGATACATACGTTACTACTATTTACGAAATTTACAGTTCCCAAAGCCTGATAAGGCGCGACTCGCGCAATCGGCAATGTATCAAAAATGTTTTTCCGAATAAAAAATTGTAACGTTACGCGAAACGAAGACACGTCAAATTAGTTGCCGTGAATAAAGCGAAATTCTCTTTACGACTGTTAAATTGAACGAAGAAAAGTAACGTTTTCTCCGTACAGTGTTGTTGGTGGTCTTGGAATTTGAAGAATCAAGCTGGGTATACCGTACCGTGTGATCCATACTCCCTCCTCAGAGGCGTCTCTGGCACCCGGGACGCGGGATCCGGACTGTGTGGAAGCTCCAAACTGGAGTTGGACCTGTGCAAGGCCAATCCACGACCCACGCGGCTCACCGGCCCTCCGCTGCCGCCGCCGTTGATTGGCAGGCTCGCGATCATCTCTTCATTCTGTCAACACAGAAACGCGAGGAAATACGTGAGAATGCGCGTGCACGCAACTCCACGCTGACGAAGAGCAGGGTGACATTCGTTTTGCCGTCGACAAATGCGTTCTTCCGCCGCGCATGTTCATTCGGAGGCAAAAGGCAAGACGGCCGGCCGGCCAGTCGCGCGGCTTAAGTAGAAATAAACTTAAGTGCCTCTCTAAACAAGCGCGAACTAGGGCGACTAATTAGAATCGCCGAGTCTTTCTCAGTTACGCGTATCTCGCTCGGCTCGCAGGCTTATATAAATGCACACATACACACACACGCATACATACACACGAGAGAGATGCCAGAAGCATACCCGAGGGTCCTACATACGTGCGACGATGAGTTCATTCATCCTGCGAAGTGACTCTCGTGCCGTTGGCGACTTTTTTCCTGTCCTTCCCTCTTAATTAAATTGGCCCTTAATTATGATAGCAAGGCCGACGAGATAGGAAAAGCGGAGAGAGAAGGAGAGGAAGAGAGAGAGAGAGAGAGAGAGAGAAGAGAGAGGGAGAGGGAGAGAGAGTTTCGCCGAGTGTAGTAGCGGTAGGATGGAGTTGCGAAAGAACACATCGGTCTCGCGCTCGTCACCACCGATATCACTAGATATCGCTCGGTCAAAAAACGAAGCCACGTTTTTAACCCTTTCTGTCTCTGTAAAGGGAGGATAATAGAATTATCCCGGGAAGAGAGCAGTTTTTCGCCCCGTGAGGGCCGCTCCTCAAGTGAATCTCAAGTGAATAATTCTCGACGTCATCTCGTAAATAATCATGTGTACACGAAGATACGGTATATGTGACGAGAAAAATGATTTCATTCAGATTAAAGCGGCTTTTACCTTCTATATTTATCTTGTAATATCAAAAATTGTCCTCTCACACGCAGAAAAATATCATTTCGCTGTTAAAAAAAAAAAAAAGCGATTATCAAATTTAATGGTCTTTCTTTTAAGCGATGGTGATCTTCGATAAAAAATATCTTCTTGATAATAAAATCTTAAAACGTGTTTATAATAAATTTCAGAAAAGTTCATTGTCACGTATTCGAAAGAAGAATTCATCCTTCCTTTAAGAATATTACAAAACTTTACCCAAAAGTTAGATTCGATTAATTTAAATAAGCAATCCAATTTTGGATTTTAATTTACCCGATTGGGGCACTAAACTTGGTAGAATTCAGAATATGTTTCGAATAAATACGATGTTTGTGATGAACTTGTGATATATTTGCGGCTATGTAAACATACGAAATACTTGAAACAAGTAACATTTACTTGTATGCAGTATATAAAGTTTTCTGCATGCAGTGTACGTAATATGTTAGAAATTCGAATGCAACAGCATTTTTTCCCCCGCGCATATCGAAAGATACGGGATAAGATTATGGATTGGCGAATTCGACGCTCATAATTGGCGAACGCGAGTTTCGCCTGTAAGTTCTGCAATTGAACTCTCCGAGGGGGGGAGGGGGAGTCGCCGTAATCTCCCCTCCGGATCCATCTCTGGCTGGTATTTGGCTTGGCGCCGTCTGGCTATTCCTTTCTCTCTCTCTCTCTCTCTCTCTCTCTCCCTCCGTCTCTCTCGAGGCAGAGCGAAAAAGCGTTAATTAACGCCGTTATTCCAGATATCGCCGTACGAGGAGCTCATTGTCGCCTGAGAGGTGCACACCTAAACGCACGTCACACCTGCCGCGTTCGATCGGCCGAATTAGCCGCTCACCGTTAACCGGCTTGCCGAGCGCGCGTCCGGTGAATAGGATCGTATTGTTAACCCCGAACCGAACACACGCGAGATCGGCATTGCGTGTCGAGTGCGGTACCGCATTATTCTAATGACACGCATCGCATCCGGCTGGCGGACGCTTTATGCCGCGGAGAAAGAATTCGGGAGATACTGTGTTATTTAATCTCCGGCGAACTGTCGCGTTGCGTTCAAATACACAGGGTGGCCAGATGTTCCCATTGCCGGAGTAACGGCAGAGAACTAGGGGGAACTCCAGATAGTCTCCGACGTTTTCCACGAACCTTCCTCGGGGTTTCAATCTCGCGAGAAAAATGTACACTACAACGACATAGTGAAGAAACTTATAATAAAGTGGGGTTCGGAGAACTAAACCTTGGTTCTAATAGGCAAGAAATTTGCTTGCCCATAGTCGAACAAGAATCTAGCTTCTTCAACTAAATGGGCATCTCAGTGTGCTTCATTGTTCAAATTGCACGCGAAAGAGCCATTGTTCATCCCGCTCGACGCCGCGTTGTTTCTCTCATCAGATATCGTACAATGCGCCGCATTTATTCGGCTTCACGTGCGCGCGTGTGTGTGTGTGTGTGTGTGTGCGTCGAATTTCGTCCTCGATTCGAGAGACGAGATGATGAGTGACGACGAGTCGCGAAAAACGGGAGCTCGGAGCCTCGAAGGTATTCGGCGCTGGGCGCTCGTGATCACACCGAGGGACGTCGGGGGCCCCGCTGCATTCCGCGCATTCCGCGCGTCCCTTTGCCGCACTCGCTCGCACTCGGCGCGTCGCGCCGTAGTTTCGCATGCACCGGATGCGCGATAGCGACTCGATGTACGTCCAGCCAGGAATGTGCACGCACACATCTCAAATGTTAATCCGCCGGCTGTAATCGCGACGGCAGATCGAACCCCGCGATATTTCGCCAAGTATCAGCGGAGACGCGACACTTTTTTATTTCTCGATGGAAATCCCGCCAGTACTTTAATCACTTTACGTATATATGTCACGATTATCCCGATAATAAGAGGATCTTACGCGATGATAATCCCTAGCCAAGGATCGAGATGATTATTCCTCAATAAAGTCGAGATTTAAACGGTTTCTGAACTCTCTCTCTCTCTCTCTCTCTAAAGTCGGAGTGGAATTCTTCGAGTTCGAAGCAAGTGAAAATTCGCAGCAATGTTTTCACTCGAGGCGATAGTGAAGACACCGCCACTCGAAGTCGCAAGAATGAACGTTCCGCTCAAGCTCAGAGTGGATTTCGACACGAGTGAATGTTTCAATCGGACAGAGTGAATTGTTCCCGCGGAACAGTGGGATATACTGATCGCATTCGCTCTTCAGTTTCGAGCGAAGATATTGACCCGGCGATTCCGAGTGGAGAATTCACTCGGCATGAATGAAAAATCACTCGAGTGATTCGCCACTCGATCCTTCGAGTACGCGGAGAGAGAAATTCCGAAAGTTACTTCGTCATTTTCAGCCTCAACCATATCTCCTTGGGTTTTAACCCAAAATATAACAGCAGCAATGTGCGTACAGATGTATTATTATTTATTATTTATTATTATTATTATATATTTATTATTATATATTATTTATTATTATTAAGATTATATTATCACCGATACCACAGTAAACACGCTAACTATAAAAAAAATAGTTCTTCCGACTACGTAATTCTTTCGCTTATGCGATTACAGTTACAAAAATATAAATATTCCCCACGGTGTGAAGCTTCGCTGCAAAAAGTTTGGGAGGGGGGGAACGAGCACCGGTCGATTACAGAGAAAAGTATTATTCTCGTTTTCCTCGCAAAACGCGCTTAACAAAGAGCCGGGCCGGCCGTTCAGTGCGGATACCGATTGCATCTCTCGGAGCGGAGGTAATAACGACAGCGAGGAGCGCACGCGGGGTGTGCGAGAGGGCGGTCGTAAAACAGCCAGATGCGGTCTGTGAGTCCTCGCTACCTCCTGCCTCGCCGGCTACACGGGCGAGAACGCGTGGGTGAGAACGCACCGTGATACGCAGAAAAACGAGTAGCCGCGACCTGCATAATGCGGGTCTCTATCTCAAGGTAGCGTGCAGCGTATACAAACGAAAGCGCCTACGCTTTACGCGCGAACCGCGTTTAACGCAGCCTCAATCGCGCCTTTCCAGGTGCTTTCACAGAAGAGGTGTGATCTTTCGCCCTCCGCCGGAAGAGTACACACACGGTGTTCCAGAATCACCGGCACTAACCGGCGCAGCACACGCTAACGCGAAAGCCGACGCCTCGATCGGTGTTAAATCGCGCGCACTTGCACCCTGTTAATTTCTCCCGAAGTGAAATCTCACTCACGAAAGGTGGAATGGCCGCTTGAATGTATGACAAATTCAACAGTAATTTAATTTCGCTTCTTTACACGGAGAAGAAACGGTTGGGTTGAATTAATGCGACGATGCGAAGCATGTTTTCGAAACTGTCGCCGAATGATCTTTTCAAGCTGACTGTAGTTTAACGTTCCCATTAAAAGCTCGAGTACGGGGAGGAAGATACAATGACACGAGACAGACAAACCGTGCGGTTGAAGTGCGGGAAAAAATGATCGCGACGAAATCCCGCGGTTAGCCGGCGAGGCGATAATGGAGAAACTCAAGAGCCGGTCCCACGGTCAAGCCGAGTTGACTCATCGGGCACGTCTCGCCAAGGACAACCGTATCCGCAAGCTTCGTTCCGCCGGAAGGAAATACTTATACTCGTGGCAAACAGCCGGTGCCGATCGTGTTGCGCGATAATAATCCGAATCTCACTGACTCAATCGCCCGTCTCATCGCCGGAGATATACACGCGCATTATCGGCCGTAAAGGCGCACGTGACGCCCGTGGTATGCGGTTTTAAATCTCGACACGAAGCACCCGGGACGCAGGTCCTCCTCCTGCGACTTTATCGATACTCAGAATCGGTGCTCCTCCACAATACGGATGAAAACGTCGCGGAAAAGCGTGGATCACGTGGAGACGAAAATTGTCACATTATTTCTTAATAAATAAATTTCAAATCATCACGTGTTAGTTTATTGATTTATTCACGATAAAACTTATCATTCTATTATTATGATTATATAATTGATGCTGTAGCTCCGAGATTCTCGAAAGATTAGAGTGATATTAAAAGGAAAAGATGTGATCATTCCTCTACCGCGTGCGATTGATCGATTTGACATCACGACGCAACCAAGATAGACCCGGAGAAGTAG